TTCAAGGAAAGGCGTCTTGCGATCTTTGTCGGAAAGACTGCAGCTGGTTGAGCGTGTTGCGTTTGAGCGAGGTGATGACCGTTTCGTTAATGGTCTGCACGCCAACTACCTAGGCGTAAATTTACCTCTGAAAGCGATCCGATCTGGTGCTGAGGCTTTTGTCCACTACGATCGCATTATGCTTGCGGTGGGTTATGTGTTGCGATTTCTCATGACTTACTCGAAGGGTGTTGCGGCGCCTTGCGGCGGCCTAGGGGCACTCAAGATTCACTACGTCCAAATGGCCAGCTTATGTACAAGTCAGTTTCATACCTCCGGACATGCTCCAATTCACCCGACCCCGTAGGAATGAGAAGGTGGTTAAGCTCTAATCGCGGGGGTTTTGGTGTACGATCATGGCTCACTCTCGACTGAGCACGTATTAGGAGACGGAAGATTTGCTGATTGATGTTTTAGCACAAAAGTCAAGCTCTGCAAACGGTAGCTGTGGAAGCTGGGGAAGTATATCTATCCAACTTGAAATTAGCACAGAATGTGCTCTGCCCACCCATCTGTCACTATTTGGCGATCACTGAATAACTGGGGCGGAGGTTGGTCGTCAGGGGGTGGGGCGGGCAGCGGGCTTTGGATACGTTTCTTTCTTTCCAAATCAACGAACGCCTTTAGGTCTCTATCCTCCTCCCTATTCTCTCGTCTGATGAAGACCAAATACAAATGTAAGTGTAAAGTTAAGTGGCACGCTTACCACGCGAGCGGTCCGGGGATCAAATCCTGGGTCGTGAGTCGCCCGGGCCAACCAAGCCTTCCATCCCTCCGGGGTCGGTTAATTGGTACCAGACTTGTCTGGGAGGATAAAAACACTGACTTGTACATCGGCTGGCCCCCGCAAGTCATTGTATAGGCCACATCGCATTCAAACGCCACTACGAATGTACAAATGGAAGTAGAATGCGTGCCGCATCCCAAAAGGGATTGATCAACGGCAAATGCTTTATCCTTTATTATTCATAAACTTGAAGATTACTGAAGAGAAATGTTACAGATTGCCGAATTGGAAGGTGTCCGCATAGATCGATTCGCACTACAGCGGCTTGTGGAATTGTGCCAGTGCGATGTTCGGTTCTCAATCAACACACTCCAGTTTGTGTCAGTTCTTGCTCAGAAGCAGCGGCGTTACGTTTCTATAGATGACATACAAAAGGTGAAATATTAATCCGGATTTTTAAATAATTTGTCGTATTCGGTACAGTTGCATAAGAGCTAGTTTCAGGCTGTGGAGCGTGAAAGAGTGGGATCTGCTTCAATATTCGAAAATTGGTCTACAATGCTGGATTTCAGTCATCACTTTGATAAGTGGGTATCTTGTTTGGTAGTGATTTTGGAGCGTGGCATTTGCGAGCTCGTTTTCACAAAGTTGCAAGCGAGTCTTTTTCTTTTCAGGAAAGGCGTCTTGCGATCTTTGTCGGAAAGACTGCAGCTGGTTGAGCGTGTTGCGTTTGAGCGAGGTGATGACCGTTTCGTTAATGGTCTGCACGCCAACTACCTAGGCGTAAATTTACCTCTGAAAGCGATCCGATCTGGTGCTGAGGCTTTTGTCCACTACGATCGCATTATGCTTGCGGTGGGTTATTGTTTGCGATTCTCAGACTTATAGGAAGGGTGTTGCAATGGGCAGAAAATTCGAATTCGACGGGGCTCGAACTTTCACTCATGATCTCACGATTCGGTACTTATTTACCGTACTATCAACTCACCACTTCCTTCCTCACAGATTTTCTTGACAGTTTTTGGTTGTTAACTGCTGCAGTTTTGCCGCAGTTCGCCTTGCGGAAGTTTTGCGAGAACACTGAGTTGTGAAAAAAGTTGTGCCCCTGACGGGACCGAGATGACACCAGATGCGGGTTCGAGTCCCGTCTGGGCGAAAGTTTTGTTCACTGCTCAGCATTTCTGTGAAACTTTATTGACAGCGTTGTATGACAGTATTTATCCTAGTTTATCAGCGCGTAGTGTAATCGGCTGATTAGCTGGTTCAAAGCAGAAGCAGCAGTTGTGCTTGTCAAATTTCGATTCAACATAGTGCTTCTCTCCTGAAGTCGGTCTCTGTGTGGTCCCCATCTAAGGCTCTTGGCCTTCTCAAAATTGCTCGTGAAAAACCTTGTGTGGAGACTATCTCCACGACTCATCGAATATGA